TTGCCATAAACCCCCCCCCCAGTCCCCCCCAGGCCCCAGCCAGGCTCCGCAGCCGCAGCCCCCCTGTGCCTGGCATGGGGCAGGGGTAGCCCCACTGCCCCCCAACAGACCCCCGGCTGGGAGCAGCTCTTGTCTCTGGAAATGCGAAGCAGCAGAAGGCTCCTGCCTGCAGCCCCTCTGCCACCGCGGCTCAGCTCGTCCCTTCCCCTGGTTCATCTTTGCTCACTGTCACTCAGCTCTGCTGTGGGGTTGGTTTTTTTCCCTTCCCTTGCTCGCTGTCCCTGTGGGGAGCTCTGGGAAGGGCTGCCCTTTTCCTTTGCTGTCTGCTCAGCATCACTTAACCTTTGCTGGCTCCTCGCAGAGGTGTGGGAGGAAACGCGGCAAGTGCTCACTCGTGCCGAGGGGCAGAGGGGGGGGCTTCTGGGGAGGGAGGCCCACGACCCCCAGATAGAGCTCTCGGGGCTCGGCTTTGTGGGGGGAAGGTTTGCACCAGCCCCAGGGCAGCGCAGGGAGAAAGATGGGGTTTCTCACTATCCTGAGGGCAAAGATCTGCTCGTGCCTCCAGCTGCTTCACCTCCCGGGGCACCTGTGTCTGGTCTGGAGCCTCAGAGCAAGCCCAGGCTTATTATATGGAGAGAAATCTTGGGGAAATAGGTTTTGTTGCAGGAGTTTTGCAGCTCAGGAAACTGAGGCAGTGGCCAAGGCAGCAGCTCAAGGACTCTGCTCACCACTGTCCTGGCATCACCCGGGGCTAGGAGGAGTTAAAAAACAAAAAGACTTGCTGGAGCCTTGAGGGAGATCACGTTTTTTTCTCTCCTCACAGGTTCTCACCCCTCAGCTTTCCCTGTCCTTGCTCCGACCATGTGGATTTGGCTCTGCTCCCCAGCGCCTTCCTGTCGTTAGGATTCCCTGAATTGCTGCTGCTTTGCCTCTTCCAGCCGGGCCCTCCCTGGCCACGCTGACGGGAGCTCCTGCTCGCCTGGGGCCCCTGTGGCCGCTGGGGTGACACAGGGTGACATGGGTGCAATTATGGTAACGATGTCCTCATTGAGCGTCCCTCTGACGATGGATGTGGGCAGCCCCTGCGAGCAAAGGGAGCTGCAGGGATGGTGGTGGCTCCTGGGGACTCTGTGGCACCACCAGCACCCAGACATGGCCCCCAACTGTGGGAGCTGCCCCCAGGGCCCTGCTGGGGGGCAGAGCCAGGGCAGGAGCGTTTGGTCACTGCCCCGAGAGAG